TCCCTCCCTCCGTCTCCTTCCCCCTCCGGGCGGCGGGGCCTGTAGGAGCGGGCCGGGCCGCCGCTGAGGGGGGCCGCGCCGGCCGGTGCCGTGTGTTGCAGGTACCTGGTGGACAGCCGCTGGTTCAAGCAGTGGAAGAAGTACGTGGGCTTCGACAGCTGGGATATGTTCGGCGCGGGCGATCCCGGCCTCTTCCCTGGGCCTATCGACAACTCGGGTCTCTTCGGCGGTGAGTGCTGCCCGGCGGCGCTGGGCCGCGGGGAGCGGGGCCCTGGGCGGTGGGGTTTGGTGCTCGGGTCGCAGCCCCGGCTCGGGTAAGTGGCTCCCACCTGCCGTCGTCTCGTCGTGCAGCTTTCGCTTTTGAAGCGCTGTGTCCCGGGAGGATACAAGTGGCCCTGCCGGCCTCGTAAGTGAGGAGGAGGCTGGTGCGGTTTCTGCCCGCTTGTGGGAGGGTTGGTATTTTTTAGCGTCGTGGTAGTATGTGTGTGGGTCATGAGAAGAAAGGATGCTGTCTGATGCCATGCTTTCTTATGTTTGTCTCCCTTTTAGATCCAGAAACCCAGAGTTTAAAAGAACACCTCATTGACGAGCTAGATTACGTATTGGTTCCCACTGAAGCCTGGAATAAACTAGTAAAGTGGTATGGCTGCATAGATGGACAGCAGCCTATTGTGAGAAAAGTAAGTATGGGTGAACCAAGGTCTCTTCAGCCTGGTTTCATTTTCTGATCTCTACCAAACTTAGACGATGTTTATTTTGCTAGAAGTGAGTTAAGACAGGATCCTCAGCAGCTCTTTGGAGATAATAACATGAGGTCTCTTTGACTTGGTACCTGAAAGAATGACCTTCCAGTATTACAGTTAAAATGCCTGAATCTTCAGTGATTCTCAGTTGATGGGTTATATGGGGTGAGAACCATGAACATTGTTCTGTTTAACTTTTTATGTTATGATTGTTTGGACCGGTGCGGTGCTTTTATGTTGCATGGAATAGTTTGTGTTTTGTTGAAAAATGCAAGTTGTTAGTCAAGCTTATCGATCTTCCAGGACAGAATGAGGCATTGGAATAAGTGGTCTTTTAGTACAGATGGCTTAGGGACTTCCTCTGGAGTTTAAGGTGGTTCTTGTTTTCTCTTCCAAAATCTGTGATTCTAAAATCATGAGAAGAGACTATTTGTGGTTTTGTTCTGTAAGTCTTACTTTTGTTTGGCAAATGCAGTCATGAATGCATTCTGAGTATATAATCTGTTCCAGAAAGTGAGATTTACAGGCTGCTTCTTTGGAAAACTGTCAGACACTCGTTTATGGGTAAAAGGTTTTTTGTTTTTATTTTAGTCGTAGGTTTTTGCACTGACTAAATTGAGCAGTGCCAGTCTGTGGGGTTCATAAAGACTATATCAACACTATTCGTTTGGTGTAGTGATTATTGTACAGAATTAATATTGCTTAAGTTTAAATAGCATTATGTTACAGTAAGGGTTGCTTCTAGGTGTGCAAGACCCAGGAAAATGTGACACCGGAATGGTAAAAGAAAGAAAGATCCCTCTCTTGGAGGCCCACTCATGCTGATCAGTGGTACTGGAACATTGTCTTTCAGTGTGGGCTAGAAATTGTATGTAACGAGAAATTCTGACATCTTCAGAAAGTGTAAATGATCCCAGGCTCACTAGGTGACCCCAGCTTCACTCTGCTGAGTAGACAGAACTCCTGTGTAAACCAGAAGTGGGGGGAGTGGAAAAGGATTATAGCAGATAAAGGAGATGTGGGTTTAGTAGAAACAGATAACTTCTTGAGGAATAGAAAATCTATACTGAGAAGGAAAACTAGAACTGTTACTGATTAGTGCTTCTCTGAATGAGGAAGCTTTTGTTCCTGAACTGGCTAACCACTTTCACAAAGCCTGGGATGTTATTAGACACTCGCTTTTCTGAAAAATTTGGAAGTTGGACAAGAGGTTTGGAAGCTATTGGGGAAACACTTGGGTGACAGGCTTAACTCTGAGACTCCTTCTCCTGGGGTATCAGATGCCACTATTCAACGCTGTAGTTATTGAGGGCTAGAGCTTAGAGCTAGTGCTGTTTTATAGACATAAGATGCCAAGTTATTGTGGTCCAGTTAAGATTAAATTTTTAAAGTTTTGAATTGCTATGAGAGTTTCAGTCTCTGTTGTTTATTGTTAACCTGATAACTGATTTTTATATTTTAAAAAAATGTTGAAATATAGCAGCATAGTATGTTTGTGGGATGTTACAGCCTCTTACAAAAAATATAAATTGAAAGGTCAGTGGGACACACAAGCTGCAGAACTGCACCTGAGTAGAATGTGGTCAGTATCTGGTTAGTGTTCTCCAGATAGCATTGAAAGTAAAATAGTTAAACTTGCGGCCCTTGAATGCTTTAATCCTTTTCCTAAAGCTGGATCAGCTGTAATTCATATATCAAAATATCTGTAAAAGTAGGATTTGGGAAGTAATTTTCAGGCATCTTTGTGATTTTTACAAGCTGGTATTTCTTCCATCCCTATGTGCCTGATGATCAGAGACAAGTACAGGAGGATTAGATTAGATTTTATTTGTGGTTTGGGTTTCTTTTGATAATCTCAAACCATATTTTCAGGCAATCTTCTATAGAGCCCCACTACAAAGTGTATTAATGTGCAAAATATAGAACAGTGTGCTTCCTCAGCGGTTGAATGCGTGTTGTGCTCAGATTGCTGTCCAACGGGATGACCAGAGTTTTACTTTGACAGAGAACGAGCTAGCTGATCAGACACTGTTTAAAAAGACATCTGCAGGTGATTAGAGACGACTCTTGCCATTCATCCGTCCTAACGGGCACAGTGATCTGATCAGAAACTTCTTCTTGGAAAGAGTTCTTCCAATTCTAAATATGGTTTTTATTTGTTTCTAACTATAGAATACTGGAGAACAGGAAGTCCCACTTAATGAAATTCCTTCTGAAAAAGAAATGGAGAACTTGTGAATTGGTTCCTTTGCATTCTTTAAAAAAAAAAAAAGTCTAATTTGTCTGTCAGGCTGTTTAAACAGGGAGTTTTACTTTCTCTTTCTGTTGTAACAGCAAAATACTGAAGATCTTTGCAAATGTATTTTTTAATCATTTAGCTTCAAAGCACCTTGCATATCTAATACAACCCTATAAAAGCTCAGAAGAGGGAAGCATAATTTAGCCAAATTCTCACAGTAAGTCTTAGTCTTAATGCTTTGTTTCTTTCCAAGGCTGGGTAAAGTTTGTGGGTTTTGGTTTTTTTTTTCTGTAAAATGATATAGATGTAGATCATGGCAAATCTGGGGTCGTGCGCATAGAATAGAATAGGTATATTTCAGTTGGAAGGGACCTACAACAATCATCCAGTCCAACTGCCTGACCACTTCAGGGCTGACCGAAAGTTAAAGCAAATTATTAAAGGCATTGTCCAAATGGCTCTTAAACACTGTTACTCTTAAAAATTATACCTGCTGGTTCAATTAAATATGATCTCAATTTCATAGGCTCTATAGCTGCAAAGAACTGGGGAGAGAATTGAGTTGTTTGAGGTTTTTTTGTTTGTTTTTTTTTTTTCATCAGTTACGTCACAGTTGTCTCATAAATGGCCTCTGAAACGTGCTTTTCTTTCTGGTATAAAGTCTTTTATGATCTGTAGGTGAAGAGTTGTGTCTAGTCTTACAGAATACCTTTTTAAAAATATGCTTAAAGCTCATGGGATGGGTAGATGTACCTATTGAAGTATTCTCTCAAATGCAAAATTGATTTGAAAATGACTGAAATGAAGCAATGTCATCAAAACACGTTCTGACAGATTTGTTTGTTTTTGCAAGGAGAGAGTCATGAGGTAGATTCCGTATACCATGCAGAAAAATCATTAATGCTTTGTCTTACTCTCTTCTAATAGAAAGGATTTTGCTCCAGTGTTCCAGGCTTGTTTGGTTTTTTTTATGTAAGCCTTAGCCAAAGACTAGGGACAAAAGATAATTTTTTTTTTCTAGAATGTATTTCATCTGTGTGATCAAATATTCTTCATGGGTAATTAGCTGGCACTTTTAGTTCAGCTGTGATGATGGGACCTTTGAATCCACTGGGGAAGGAAAGTACTGGGATTTCTTACATTTTAAAAACAAAACCCCAAAACAAGCTGATGTAGGCTGTGACTGAATCTGGACATGAGAACAAGTCAGTGTTCAGTTTATGGCTTGACTTGCAAGACTCCTAAAGACTTAAAGTATTTAGACAGGTGTACCTTACAGAGGGCTGCTCGGTATTTTAACTTTGAGTTATTTTGTTTCTCGCATCTGCCTTTTGTTTGCAGGTAGTGGAATATGGTCTGTTTGTGAAGCACTATAAGGTTGAAGTTTATCTTCTTGAGCTGAAGCTGTGTGAGAGCAGTGATCCTGACAATGTAATTAGCTGCCACTTTAGCAAAGCAGATACTGTTGGTAAGTAGTTCTCTGATGCATGAAGCTGTGGTCTGATGCTACCTTGAGATATTTTGTGCCCTCCAGAACAAGATTGATGTTGATAAACTGGCGCAAGTCTAGTGGGTACCAACAGGACAGTTGGGGTTGGAGTGTGTCATGTGTGAGAAGAGGCTGAGGGAGCTGTGTTTAGCCTGGAGAAGAGAAGGCTTTTGGGGGGACCTTGTAGCACCTATGAGGAGGTTACTAAGAATGTGGAGTCAAGCTATTTACTGAGTCACAAAGCAAGAAAACTGTGTAACAGACAGTAGTAATAAATTGAAACAGGACAGGTTCCAACTGAATATAATGAAAACATTTTCCCTATTAGGACAGCTAGACATTTGAACAGGGCCTGGAGGGGTGAGGGAATCTCCTGCCTTGCAAGTTTTGAACACCTGATTGGATAAGCCCCAAGCAGCCTGGTCTGAATTCAGTGTTGACCCTGGTTTGAGTGACTGGACTAGGAACCTCCTCAGTTTCTTCCAGCCACAGTGATTCTGTGTGCAACACAGGGAGTTGTGGTTAAGAGCTTTGAGGAACACATTGCTTACTAACTCATGTCCTTAAGAAACATCCATGTCGCTCATGTAAAGCAGTTCTGTCTCTGGTTCTCTTACAATTCCCTCTCCCTAGTGTGTGAATATTTTAGTCATCTTCTTAATGGCTCTTCCTACACTTGTGTTCTTCCTGAAATTTGGCCCCTCTCTCTTTCTGTATCATGGCTGTATTTTCCTGTGTTAAAATGGTGAATGACAGCTGTCATATATGTCCATAAATGTGTCCATATGTCCATAAAGATGCTTTTTTTTTTTCAGTTTGCTGATGTGTGGCCTGACAACAGTAACTGAAAACACTTCCTTTTTGAACCTATGTTATCATGGTTCCACCATCATTAAATGATGACTGTTTCACAGAAGTTGGCCTTTGGGCAGAAACTTTTCAATGTGTTCTGAACATTATTGGTTTGAGGGCTTAACAGGCAAATACATGACTGAAAACAGAAGTTATTCATTGTTTCAGACTAAATATTAGACAAGTTATATGAGTAATTGTAACTTTCATGGTACATTTTCTATTCAAAGGATCTTGAAGGTTCAGTGTTGTACCTCCTTGCTGAATGCCTGGCTTGTCAGGTTTTTTTTTTTTTTCAAAAGCACTCATGTTTTAGGTATTTTGGTGTTGTTTTTTTCCCCCTGAACAGCTACCATTGAGAAAAAAATGAGAAAACTGTTTAATATCCCAGCCGAGAAGGAAACTAGGTTATGGAACAGGTATATGAGCAACACTTACGAGCAGCTCAGCAAGCTGGATAGCACTGTGCAAGATGCAGGGCTCTATGACCGTCAGGTAAGGGGCATAACGTTTTTTGTTTTTTTTTTTTTTTAGATTCTCATGTACTGCTTTCTCTGAGTGTAATTTTTTCACTTGGTTTTATGTACTTTGAGCAAACATTGAAAATGTGATTTGTTAATGATTTTGCAAAATGTGCAGCAGATTTGTAGTTATCTTTATTACGTGAACTCTCTTTTAGGTTGTTCTAATAGAAGTGAAGAATGAAGATGGCACGTGGCCTGGACAGCATTTCCTGGCAAAGTAAGCAAGCAATCATGTTCTAATGGGTTCTGCTATTTTGTCAAGCTTGTTCACTTGTTTTTAGTGACCATGTGTTCTCTGTGAAAGCCTAATTATTACTGACTGGCTTATTATGCATTTCTTTGTTTTGGGTATTTTGAAGGAGGAGATAAAATCTTGAATATAAATATTCTTCGGTGGTTCTGCTGCTGGTTTCTCGTCTTGGCAACAGTCTTCTTTTTAAAGCCCATTTCAAATAGGTTGTATAAGCTTGGGTTTCTACAGTGCTTAGGAGATGAAAGTGCTATTTATGTTGAGCTAGTCTACTTAAAAAGTTACCTCTGCAGACTGCGCAGTAAAAAAAAATAGCTGTCTTCTACCATTGTGGAACAAAAAGGATCTTGGAGTATACTTCCAAAGCTGCCAGTAGTGAATACTCAGAGTTCTGGTAGTTCCTCCTTAAAAAGGTATAGAAATAGCTTAACAACCCCCCCTGCCACCCAAGATAATTAGAAGCCTGTAAATTTTACACAGATATTATCTCTCTAATATGTAATTTAGAGAAGAGATGAGCAATATGGTGGGGAGTGATGAAATAATGTATGTATAGAGTGAGTGGTGTAGAATGGAAGTTGCTTACAATGATAAAGAGCTGCTCTTATCCAGTCATACTACAGAAGGTAAAATCCTGTGATTTTACTAGTCTGGCCTACTTGCTTTCCCATGAGTAGGCCATTAGACTTGATAATGTTTTTCTGTACAATACAGTTAACTTGTAGAGCTTGCTGCCAAGTGATCTCATTTGAGATCAAGATCTTACCAGTGTTAAACTTGAAGAATGGATCAAATAGGTCACTGAAACTTGTTTTGAAACAGTTCTGTACTTCTGAGATATAATACTGGGTAAATGGATCAGGAGAATGTTCCTAGGATTATAATGAACTTTCTGTAAGACTACAATGTGAAAAGCATCTAAACATTCATATCATGTACATAATTGAATACTAGTTGACGGTCAGTATTAGAGAGGGAGCTGTGCAAGACCAGATCGTAACCTTCTGTTTCTATGTGAAGCGAAGCTAAAAAGGAGCCTTGTAGCATTCCCAGGCCTCAGTCTTGTCTTTTTTTTAGCAGCTAGTCTGATAGGTAAAGACTTTTAATTAACCTGTAGTGATATTTAAATGAAAATGGTTATCAGTGTGCAGATTAGTATTTTCTAATGATGTAGAAATAAAGATTTGCTTATTATAATGTAGAACTCATGAAATTTTTTTACTTGATGTTGATAATGGGTAGCTGGAAGAATTGTAGTAAGTCATACATCTAGGATTATCTGTTCCTTTGTATGCTGTCTTGGCTAACTATTTCCTTTGTCCTTATCTCTGTTAGTTAAGAAACTAAGCTTGTATATTCCACATAATGTCTCCCTTATACAGTTGGGTGCATTGGTTTAGCAAGTTCTGTGCTTTGGCTCTTGTGCCCTTACTTAGTCTTGTAGGTTAAATGCATAATAGCTGTTTGTTCAAAAACACTGTTTCAGATGCCAAAGAGGGGAAGAAGAAGCTTGATTGCCCCTCCTCATTACGCTTGACTTTGGTGTGTGCTGATCAGCACACAAACTGCTGATCAAATGAGAAGGACCTTTTTATGTGGCCAGGGCAAAGCCTGTCTCTCAGGAAAGCAGTATGCTTTAATGTCTTTGGATTATAATGAGCCCTGCTGGACTAATATCATGCCTTCTTATGCAAAAGGTGGCTGTGTCATATAAGGCAAGTCAGGGAGGAAGATTGGACTTTAAAATTCTTTCTGTGTTTGAAATGCAAGGAGGAAAAAGTTGAGAACTTAATCTGTTATAGACATATGATAACAAAAGATGATAACGAGCAGTAAGTATTTTCCTATTAGGTTCAGTGATGTTTTCTATGCCTTTTTATGTCTTTAAGTTGCTAATATTCTACAGCAGTTGCCTTGAACACCCCAAAACCATGTATGAATCATACTCGTACTGTTGAAAATAATGAGGAAGGCTGTACTGGATCTGGACCAGGTGTGTCCAGTAGCCTGCCTCATGGTGTGGGCAGTGGCAGATGCATGTAGGAGGAGTAAAAAAAGTTCCCTGTAAGAAGAGGGCATAATTAGCAATGCATCTACCATGGTATACTGCTGTCTTCTGGTAGCCTGCAGCTCAGATGTTTTCAGAGATGATTGAGTCTAGATATTTATGTTGAATATACGTTGACAGTCTGAGGGGACATTTCTTCTGCATTTTGGCGCTTCCTCTGTTGTGTGTCATCACTCCATGTCAAATGTGAGTGGGCTGGTGGCAGTCTAGACTGGATCATTTGTAGATTTTAAGTTTTCTTTCTCCTGCTCTTTCAAGGTGTCCTGGGTTTGGTGGGGATAGAGTTAATTTTCACAAGAAGCTAGGAGGGGACACAGCCAGGATAGCTGAGCTGAACTAGCAAAGGGGATATTCGATACCGTATGATGTCATGCTCAGTATATGTTTCATTGCGCATAACTCACTTCGTATATTCTTTTATTAGTATTATTGTTACTATTATTTCTTCTCTCCTTGTGTTGTCCTGTTAAACTGTCCTTGTCTCAACCCACGAGTTATTTACCTTTTTCTTCTGATTCTTCTTCCCATCCCATGGGGGCAAGGGAGGGAATGAGTGAGTGGCCGCATGGTGCTTAGTTGCCGGCTGGGTCTAAACCAGGACAGTCCTTTTTGGTACCCAACGTGGGGCCCAAAGGGTTGAGATAATGACGGATATGACCACAGTGTGTTAAAGTAAATTTGTTATACACATTTCTTATATTAGTTAAATAGTCGCTGGTCACAATGTTGGTTCATTTGTTCACATGGTGGTGTTATCTAAGTTCTTATATGCACTATGTATTCCCTGCGGTGATGTTCTGTCACCTTGGAGAGGGATCAGGACTGTCATTTTGCTGTACCTAGGTAATGTCGACTTATGATTACATCACTGGTCATGAGGTTAAGCTGGTTCTTTTATGTGGCATTGTTGTCATGCCTGTACCTCGGGCACCTTCTCTCAGAATATATTAGCAATTGCACCCAATCTATGGGGAAGACGGGAGCAGGGGGGATACTTTCTCCTGCTCTTTTACCTCCCCTTTCTCTTTCAGGCTAACTACAACAGCTTGTGAGAATTTTGAATATCCTTGGGATGTTCACGCCAGCATGCTCTTATTGCTATGTCTCCTTAATGTGTTTCAGGTCTTGTTTAGGGTTACAAAAAACTTCTTTTAAGAATACCACCCAGAGATCTGCCCCAAGGCTGGATAGTCATGGGTGGCACGGCATATGGGAGAATATGGGCAGGTATCTAGAGAACTTCTCACCTCCAGTGGTTTGGAACTTCACTCCCGAACAACTACAGAACCCTCATGAAGTGGTAGAATATTTGAAAAGAAAATGCTGTGGCTATTCCAAAGAGGCACAACTTACCACACTGTGCTGGGCCCTGGCCAGCATCTACCAAACACTGCTCAATATTATGCAGCACCCTCAGCGGGCAGGGAGGGAAAACAGACCAACAGGCACTGCAGCTCTTCCAACCCTCATGACAAGCACTGTGGGTACTCAAACCCTCGTGACAGGCACTGTGGCTACTCAAACCCCAGCGACAGGCACTGCAGCTGAACCAGAGAACCAAACTGTGCCAGTATCAGTTGCACCTGTACAGAAGAAGAAATACACAAAAAAATCAGCTCACTTAATGAGGGATGAAAGTGAACCAGGGTCATCACAAGAACGGGAGGAAGAGGCAGAACCAAAGATAACCACCCGATCCCTATCCCCGAGTGAGCTGCGAGATATACAAAAGGATTTCAGCCGCCATCCAGGTGAGCACATTGTCACCTGGCTGCTCCGATGCTGGGATAGTGGGGCCAGTAGCTTGGAATTAGAGGGTAGGGAAGCCAAGCAGCTGGGATCCCTGTCTAGGGAAGGGGGCATTGACAAGGCGATTGGGAAAAAGACACAAACGCTCAGCCTCTGGAGGCGACTTCTGTTGGGTGTGAAGGAAAGGTACCCCTTCAAGGAAGATATTACATGTCACCCAGGCAAGTGGACCACTATGGAGAGAGGTATCCAGTACCTGAGGGAATTAGCTGTGCTAGAGGTGATTTATAATGAGCGGTTACCCACAGATCCAGATGAAGTGCAATGCACGCAACCCATGTGGCGGAAGTTTCTACGAAGCGTACCACCGTTGTATGCCAACTCATTGGCCATAGTGTCCTGGAAAGAAGGTGAGGGACAGACAGTGGATGAAGTGGCTGGACGACTCCAGCAATACGAAGGAAGTATCTCTTCTTCCCTACGGGCCTGCATCTCAGCTGTGGAGAAACTGCCAGACATGCTAGCTGAGAAACTGTCCCGAGAGTTCCAGCGATTTGAGGATAAGTTCTGCCCCGCACCTGTCCAGGCCCCTATCTCAGCTATTAGGAGTCGGCATTCTTCTGCTGAAGAGAAAGGGTATAGAAGGTACACACCACGTAGTACCCTGTGGTTTTACCTGCGTGACCATGGAGAGGACATGAGGGAGTGGGATGGAAAACCTACCTCAACCCTAGAGGCACGGGTAAGTGAGTTGCAAGGAAAAACAATCACAAAAGGGGATTCTTCCTGGAAAAATGCTGCTCCAGTTGCCAGTGGGCAGTTCCCCAGACAGAGTAGAAGGGCTGATCTCATTTCTGATCCTCTTGAAGGGACTTCTGATTCATGTTTACAAAAAGTGTGTAAAGAATACTATGACTAGGATTAGAGGGTCCCTACATCCAGCCAGGTGGAGGAAAGGGACAACTGAGTTTATTGGACTGTGTGGATTCGATGGCCTGGCCTGTCAAACCCACAGGAGTATAAGGGTCTATAAGGGTAGATACCGGTGCACAGCGTACCCTAATGCCAGCAAGCTATAAAGGGGAAGAACCCATCTGTATTTCTGGAGTGACAGGGGGATCCCAACAGCTAACTGTATTGGAAGCTGAAGTGAGTCTAATGGGGAATGAGTGGCCTAAATACCTTACTGTGACTGGACCAGAGGCCGTGTGTCCTTGGCATAAACTATCTCAGGAGAGGGTATTTCAAGGACCCAAAAGGGTACTGGTGGGCCTTTGGTATAGCTGCCTTGGAGATGGAGGAAATTGAACAGCTGTCTACATTGCCCGGTCTCTCGGAGGACCCTTCTGTTGTGGGATTGCTGAGGGTAAAAGAACAACAAGTGCCAGTCGCTACCACAACAGTGCACCGGTGGCAATGTTGCACCAACCAAGACTGATTCCCAGCCATACGCTGATTTGTCGACTGGAGATCCAAGGAGCAATCAACAGAACTTGCTCACCCTTTAATAGTCCCATATGGCCAGTGCGAAAATCTGATGGAGAGTGGAGACTAACAGTAGACTGTCGTGGCCTGAATGAAGTCATGCTGCTGTGCTGGCAATGCTGGAACTTCAGTACAAACTGGAGTCAAAGGCATCCAAGTGATATGCCACAATTGATATCGCTAATGCATTTTTCTCAATCCCTTTGGCAGCAGAGTGCAGGTTACATTTTGTTTTTGCTTAGAGGGTTGTCCAGTACACCTGGAGTTGACTGCCCCAGGGGTGGAAACAAAGCCCTGCCATTTGCCATGGACTGATCCAGACTGCAGTGGTACAAGGTGAAGCTCTGAACACCTGCAATACATTGATGACATCATTGTGTGGGGCAACACAGCAGAAGTAGTTTTTGAGAAAGGGAAGAAAACAGTTCAAATCCTTCTGAAGGTTGGTTTTGCCATAAAACGAAGTGAGGTCAAGGGACCTGCACGGGAGATCCATTTTTTAGGAATAAAATGGCAAGACTGGCATCGTCAGATCCCAATGGATGCGATCAACAAAATAGAAGCTATGTCTCCACCAACTAGCAAAAAGGAGACACAAGCTTTCTTAAGTGTTGTGGGTTTTTGGAGGGTGCATATTCCAGATTACAGTATTAATTGTAAGCCCTCTCTATCAAGTGACCCAGAAGAAGAATGATTTTAAAATGGAGCCCTGAGCAACAATAAGCCTTTGGACAGATTAAACAGGAAATAGTTCATGCAGTAGCCCTTGGGCCAGTCTGGGCAGGACAAGATGTTAAAAATGTGCTCTACACCACAGCTGGGGAGAACTGCCAGTGCTCTATCTCTATACTGACTCATGGATCATGGTAAATGCCCTGTGGGGGTGGTTGCAGCAATGGAAGCAGAGCATCTGGCAGTTCAGAGGCAAACCCATCTGGGCTGCTGCACTGGGGCAAGATACTGCTGCCTGGTTAGAGAAGCTGGTTGTAAAAGTACATCACGTAGATGCTCATGTACCCAAGAGTCAGGCTACTGAAGAACATCAAAACACCCAGCAGGTGGATCAGGCTGCCAAGATTGAAGTGGCTCAGGTGGATTTGGACTGGCAACATAAGGGTGAATTAGTTATGGATCAGTGGGGCCATGATGCCTCAGGCCATCAGGGAAGAGATGCAACTTACAGATGGGCTCATGATCGAGGGGTGGGCTTGACTATGGATGATATTGCACTGGTTATCCATGAATGTGAAACACGAGCTGCAGTCAGGCAAGCCAAGTGGTTAAAGCCTCTGGTATGGAGGGTAACGGCTGAAGTATAAATATGGGGAGGCCTGGCAGATTGACTGTATCACACTCCCACAAACCTGCCAAGGCAGGCGCTATGCATTTACAATGGTGGAAGCAACCACCGGATGGCTGGAAACATATCCCGTGGCCCGTGCCGCTGCCTGGAATGCTATTCTGGGCCTTGAAAAGCAAGTCTTATGGTGACATGGTACCCCAGAAAGAATTGAGTCAGACAACGGGACTCATTTCTGAAACAGCCTCACAGACACCTGGGCCAAAGAGCATGGCATTGAGTGGGTGTATCATATGCCCCATCATGCACTAGGGTCCAGGAAAATTGAATGATACAATGGACTGCTATAAACTACAGTGATGCTATAAACTACAGAGCGCAATGGGGGGTGGGACCTTCAAACATTGGGATACACATTTAGCAAAAGCCAACTGGTTAGTCAACACTAGAGGATCTGCTAATCGAGCTGGCCCTGCCCAATGAAAACTTCCATGTACTGTAAAAGGGGATGAAGTCCCTGTAGTGCACATGAAGAATATGTTAGGGAAAACAGTCTGGGTTAGTCCCGCCTCAGGCAAAGGAAAACCCATTCATGGGATTGCTTTTGCTCAAAGACCTAGGTGCACTTGGTGAGTGATGCGGAAGGACGGGGAAGTTCAATGTGTACCTCAAGGGCATTTGATTTCAGGTGAGAATAGCCAATGAATTAAATTGTATGATGTTAATTGCTAAATAATCCTGCCGCTGTATGTCATTGCTACTACAGTTGCTATATGCCATATCAATGGGATTACAGTAAGAATCGCCCAAATCAATAAAGAGTATGGACTTTGATGAAACTGAGTGAAGTGCAGCAGTGATGGAACTTAAACTGGCTTCAGCAACTGGTGCCCAGCAACTTCCTCAAAATAGACATCTTCAACCTGCAGACTGTGGGTGTGGGCTGTGCCAAATACACCAGCTGTGAGCTCTGGATGCAGCAATCCAATGCCACACACCATCTCTTCTGTCCTGAAAGACTGTTAAGACAGATGGAGCCCCAAAGTCACGGATTAAATGAACTCAATGGACACGTTAGAGGGGTGGCTCATAGACTAAGGGAATGAGATCTGTGTGTGTATATATATGCGTATTAAAAAAAGACAGGAAAAGTGGTGGTGACTAATTGGAAAGTGTAGGATCTGGGCATGACGTAGGTGGTATAGAATAAGGGGTGGTTAGTATCCTTGGTTTGGCTGGGATAGAGTTAATTTTCACAAGAAGCTGGGAGGGGACACAGCCAGGATAGCTGAGCTGAACTAGCCAAGGGGATGTTTGCTACCATATGATGTCATGCTCAGTATATAAACTGGGGGAGCTGGCAGGTGGGGGAGGAGGTATCGCGGATTGGTAACGTGCTGGGCATTGGGTTCTGGGTGGTGAGCAATTGCATTGTGCATCACTCGCTTTGTGTATTTTTTTATTAGTATTATTGTCATTATTCTTTCCTTGTGTTGTCCTATTAAACTGTCCTTGTCTCAACCCATGAGTTTTTTACCTTTTTCGTCTGATTCTCCTTCCCATCCCACCGGAGCAGGGGGGAGGAGTGAGGAAGTAACCGCATGGTGCTTAGTTGCTGGCTGGGCCTAAATCATGACACAAGGGTTATTTCACAAACCTTTTTACCTATTTTTAAGGGATTTATATTGACAAAAAGAAATAGTGATGCTCTGGTTTTTTTGTTGTTACATAATAGGTTCTTGGTGAGTAAGCTAAATTTAACTTCTTTTTCTTGAATCATTGGCATTGCTCCATAGTAATGCATTTATAATTGCTCTGTGCTTTCTTTTCATGTCAGTTATAATCAGTTCTGAATTTTATTTGGCTTCCTTCCCTTTTTTAGCATATCTTTATATAAATGCATAAATACTTAATACTCCGTAGTTTGTAACTTATTTGATGTTTGTTTTACTGAGAATCCTTAAATTTTTTTTCAAGACATTCTTTTATTAAGGGTAGTTTCATATTTCGTTTAGTTTTGAATACACTCTCTAAATTCCACCTCCCTCTGAAGTTGAAATCTGGGAAAGCACAGTGCAAAGATTCTTACTAGTCTCAGGCTGAGTCTTTTACATAAGTTAATCTTGGAGCAGCATGGATTATTTTCTCTTGGAGAGCAATAATTTAGTAAATAAAATCATTAATAAAGCTTTTCTATATAATGAAAAAAATTAGCTGCTTGTTTAACCATGTTCTTTCATTTGTCAGATATCTCAGCAGACAAACCTTAAGTGAAAGTGTACCCTGTGACTTAGAGTGTGTTCTCAGTTGATCTTTAAAATTTTTTTTTCCTTTTGTTCTGGAAACATTAGATGTCTGTACTGCAATGAAACGTTGCCAGCATTTTAATTGTTTCTGTGAGCTGGTAAAAGACTCACTAACCTGAAGTGTAGGGTTCAAATCCCATTAATGATTTGGGACGTGGCTTGTCTTTCAATGGGGGGGTGTGTGCATATACCTGTTGCATTACATCAGTATTACATGTTTAAGACTCCAGATTAATGAGTTTAGTACAAAGCCATAGGGACTGTTTATATGTATAAAATCTGTGGGTGATTGTGAGCAATTGAACTAGACAGAACTGGTGAGAGAGGAAGGAGGAGGCAAGATCCAGAGTTCCCAGCCCAGAAGAGTATGAGTGTCTTACCCTGTTCACTGATGACGTGTTCAGGGTAGGTTACACTGTATTAATATTACAGAGAGTGATTCTGTAGTAGAGGAAGTTCTTGTTTGTCTGTAGGAAACAACCAATGCTTTTTGGAAGCCAAAGGTGATACCAGCAGTGAGTTGGAAGCTGCATTAACAGCATGGCTAAGAAGGA